GGAAAGACTCAAAAGCAGGGGCCATTAACTTCTATGCAGTGCCTCAAACTAACAGTGCTTAACATTGAGGGTTGTAATCTTCGACAGAGCCTCTACTGCTGCAGTTTTCCTAACGGTCCTAATAAAAACCCATTTGCAAGAAATACTTTCATGAGGGAATCTGTACTTGACATTCTTTGAAGGTGAGAAGTGCTACCCTACCCATGTTCATGTTTAGCAGTGTATGTGACCAGTTCAGGTGAATTAGCAGAAAGATTTCTGAAAAATTAAGCTCTATCTTAATTGTCCATTAATGAGATTTTCTTTTAAGGAATCTGGTATCAACTGAATTTATAGACATAACTTTACAGTGTAGATACCTGCTAGATCAATGTTTCAGTACAGTTTTTAAAAATCTTGCCAAATAAAGGCTTCACTGGTGGAAAAAAAGAGTGGCTATTAGCATATTTCTAACTTAGTGCATGTCTTTTTCTGATCTAATGATACACATTCATGACAGGTCCAATTTGGAGCTTTCCTTATGAAGAATGACAGCTGAGAATTCAGTTTTGAGGTTACGATGGCACTTACAAGTAGAAGTGTCAGAGCAGGTTAAGTTAAGGCAAAGTCAGATAAAACTTTTTTTATCTTCTAGTAAAAATCCTTTAAGAGTTAGCAGTGCCTTCAGAAAATATGAATCAAATAACATTCTGCAGATCAAACAGATGTCCACAAAAGTTAAACAAATGGCAAGTTATAAACATCAGTGATTCAAATATAATGAAACACAAAATCCTCAACCTCTTCAAATGGTCTCCTCTTCCCGAAGCATTTTATTATCAGTTAAATTAAGAGAGTCTCAATTTATGGAACCTGGAACACTTGGCGATCTAGCAGCACTTTATTTAAAGATTTGTTTATTGCAAAGCCATGCAAAGGTTATATAAAAAATCCTCTTCCTATCAGAGACCTCAACTATCTATTTTTACAAAGGCTGCTGGAAGCTTGCTTAATGAGATGTAATTTTTGACCCAAGATTTTTTTTCTGAGGCTATATTGTTTCAGCTGCTGTCACCAAGTCAACTCAGCACTAGTGCTACACCATTTGTCCCTTTTAAAGTAAGCAACTGTAACGCTGCTCCAAAGAATTATGTCCAACCTGAACACAGACAACCTTGGAAAGTCCTTTGCTTACACCTGACCAGAGAGAAAGAGAGCACATGTGTGCAATTAATGCACTGAAGTAGGACTTGCAGAATTTTGGGAGACAGGTGAAACAGGCTGCCAAGAGTATTACTCCTCATATGCCCTGCCTTTACCCCGAACAATCTAACTTTGCAGAAATTTCACAGTGTAAGTATTTTGAAGCTGAAATACACAGGGCTTCTCTCCACTGAAAGGTGAAGTCCACTGGGTTGGGAGTCACAACATTTACAACGAAAGCCGAATGACTAGGCGTTATAGAAGTGCATCAAATAATTCTGGTAACAACAGTATGACGATTTAGGGTCACTTCACAGATGTAAAATATGTAATGGGAGATGGTTCTTGCAGAATTCAAGACAAGTTCAAGAACAATATGTTGGAATGAAGAGGAAGAAAGCATGAAGGAGTGGGAAGAAAGTGGGAAGAGAAAAGAAAGAAGTATTAACATCATCAAAGAGTGGATGAAAAAACTATTAGAGAACCACAACCATGAAGGATAAACACTCCTGGATTATCCTTCATCTGTTTTTTAGCCCTACAGTGGTACCCCAACAAGGTTTATCATCAAGAAAAGGAGTGGTGCAGAGACAATACATGGAGGTTGTTGTATAAATAGAAATAGGCAGGTGAAGTTTTACTACAACTGCATAGTCAACAAAGTACATGGCCCATTTGTCATATAAAACCTTACTAATAACAGCACATTTTTCATAACATCTTAAAGCAGTGTATGAAATTTAAGTACGGAGAAAAGTTGGCATTGTATGGAAAGCACTTAGCTTTCAATATGAATTAAGTTATTTAAGTTTGAGGCAATAATTTTATGATTAGAATGTATTTAAAGGCATCTCAGCCAAAGAGTTTCCCATTCATCATGTATTGATGAACACTGAAGAAGGGCTGGATTTTACAACATTGAAATGTAGAAACTTTGCCGTAAGTATAAAAAAGAAACACGTTCTTCTGTTGGACGCATCAAATTTTAGAACTTGCATGTAGCTTATCTAAGTATGGTATGTCTATTTTCCTTTATAACTCACTCATAACTTTTCTGTGTTGTAAGCAATTCAGTGATGGGCAAGTATGTTGTCAATAGGGTTATTTTATGAGAGCAACTCAATTATCCAGAAATTATTTTTCAGAGGTGAAAGCAGCTAACTGCATGAATTTATTGCAATTTCCCCTCAGTCAAGATCAGACAGATGGCACAACCTAATTATACCTGGACTACTGCACTTTAGACAATTAATCTAAAAGCCATTCTAAAAGCAAGAAGCAACAAAATTCAGCCAAAATGCCAATTAAAAAGAAAATAAAATAAAAAACTTCAGGGCAGCCAGCTCTGATTCAGTAGTTGACTAATCAATCATTTTGTAGTAGTAGAAATTTGGTGCATCCAATTGCACGTTATTTTTGTAAGTAGAAATGAAGTTCTGTATCACAGACAATTTTCCAGACACCATTACTAATCCAGATGTTGGAACAATGAATATAAACACAAGTAGTGATCATTACTTTTAAGTGGTAGCTTTGTTAATAATTTAAGTAGTAAAGACTATTAAATAAAATAATGCACTCAACACAGAAATGTGACTGTCTCTTTCACACCACTCTGTATATAAATCAATGAATTTTCATTCCTTTCTCCAGTTGCTTGGAAGAAGGTTCTACAAGAAGAAGTCCTAAAACTATTACCAATAATCCAATAATAATAATCCAATATTACCAATAATTTTTTTTGATAGGCATATTCAAGGCAAGCATGCAAACTGCATATATCACCAGTGGCAATTCAATATAACAAACAAGAAAACGAATTAATTAATGTACAAGAACTATTTTTGTTACTGGATCAGGTGCAAAATTTTGAAAAAGGAAGAGTCAGGTACACTGAAGAGAGAAAATGTTGATCAGGCGCCTGGAAGGGAGCCTCTTAGCAGGTACTAACAATGCCCCAGCCACTCAGCTGAGAGACCATAGCGAATCACAGAATACACTACATATTGCAAAATACAGCTGTATGAAAGCTACCTTCAACAGAAATGTACTAATTTGACTTTTAAGCAACCTATGCACATGATTAGGCAAACACAAGTAATTCATGCAGTACATGTCAACTATGTAACAGTGTCTACATCTGGCAGACATTAACCAACAGCAGAAAATGTTCTTCCAACTCTTTACACATCTTCAAAGGTTGATCTGGTAAGAAGCTACAAGCGGAGGGGAAGACCTAGCAGCTCCTTGTCTTGAGCAATGACACAAAACGGAAACTAAACCAGCAATGTAAGGGGAGCACATTGGCCACACAGCATCTTAAGTACACGCTGCCACACCTACCTGCAGCTCTTTTACAACCCGTTTGATGAGGTAAGTCCCAAGTTCCACACCTTGCAGTCCCTGCTGAGTCAAACTGATTGAGTAGAAAATTGCTGTTGTAATTTTATCTGTATCTTCTGTTTCTAAAGGCAGAACTTCTTTCACTATGGCCTGGGAAAATAAGAATAAAATAAAAAAAAGTTAATAGCAGTTGTTATTATCATCATTATGGGGGAGGGGGCCTTTCTTTTTAACTTTCAAATGTGTTAACACTTTTCCCCACTGTTTTATTCATTATCCTCTGCGAGAAACAACAAAAATCTAATCAAAAAGTAGAAAGAAGAGCTGCTTATCCATTAGCACGTGCAGGAAGTAATTGTAATGTGGTTTAAAATTTTCAGAAGTAATCATAACCACTTTGAAGTTTTAATCTCATTTGCTATCTTTTCTTATATATTTCTTGTCTCTTCTTATTCTTCTTGCACTTGGGACTTGCACTGGGAGCAAAACCCCAAAATTTCAACTTACATAATACAGGAGATACACGGAATACCCGTGTACTTCAGTGCCAATTCTCTCATCTCTTAAAAAAATGAAACAAAACCAAATATTCCCAAATTATAAGGAATTACAGATTTTAAAAGAAGTACATTGCAATTTGAGCATCTTGCTGTATACTAAATGCATCAGTGACTGTACCTGGATGCTGCTGGAGATATCACTGGTTAGTGCAACATGCAAGACTATCAATGGTTCTCCTGGGATTGCACAGTGAGAAAAAAAGTAGCATCTTCTATATGACCCAACTCGACGCTTCATATCAACCCAGTTTCTAACAGGATGCACAGCTTCAGAACTCAATAAGAAAATAAAAAAAGTAAAATTATATTTTTTTTCATTTAAAAACAGGTCAGCTGCCAACCCTACAAGCTACTTTTCCCATTGATGTCAGTGACAAAACTCTCCAATCAAAAAAGGAGAATCAGGCTGTAAGTGAAAAAAGTAAAATTCATCAGCAAACTGTGACAAAGTAGATTGTAAAGCTGTATTGCATACCCACCCACTCTCTCTAGTTTTCTTTGGGATATGCTTATTACACATCGGAGATTTCACTTGCACTTTCTGTTCAGTATAGGATATCTGATTGAGACAACTAAGTCACCGAAGGAGTCTGAACACACCTCTAAGGAATTAGTTTTCTAAGCCTCTAAGGAATTAGTTTTCCTAAGCTACAAAGTAGTCTGTTAGCACTCCCACAGCCATGTCTTCAATCAATCATTCAAAACATTCTTTTCTCTATTACATATTGAAAGTCTAGTGTGTTTGCCAAAATACCTTGAAGATTAAGTAAAATATTACTAATTATTTTTATTTTGAAAATTTAACTTGGATAAGATCTCTTTTCTTTGCCTCATCAACATTTAAGTCATGTATTTTCAGAACTCTTCAGAGATTCATTTTTCTTCAAGCTTTTTATATGACAAAATGCCACACCACGTAACTTTGATTCAGTCATCTTCAACTTCATCACTACAACTTTCAATATTTGACAGAAATTCAGAAATAAATGTTGTAGATTTTAAGGAATGCTCATAAAATACAAGGTGCTCTCTTCACACACCGTTTACAAGTAATTCTGTGCACCTCACCGGTTCCAGCCAGGAAGGGGAGCCTCACTACATTAGAAGTAAAACATGCTCTTGAGTGTTGGGCACCCAATCCTGCATCAGATTTAAACACTGATTCTCCACCAACACTGAAGGGAGAAGAAGGTGGCAGTGGTGATGGAGGTGGCAGCGGCAACAGCACCCGTGAGGGGAAGGGAGCACGAGAAGGCCGTGCTGCAAGAAACTACGTTTGCAGGAAATGTAACAGCAGCACCTCTGGGAATGTGGGAAGAATAACTGAGAAGGCTGGGAGAAAAGACAGCAGTCTAAAAGTGCAGTATGTGAGCTAAAGGATCAAATTATGGGACAAATGATCCCCTTTACCATTTACTTAATTCCGTTTTTAAAGTGTGCTCTCTAGTGTGTTAAATACAACTACTTCTTAATTATACTTTGCCTATGGTTCATTATTGAAAAGCAGTATCTTGAAAATAGTGGATCTGTGCAGTCACAAGCATTTCATTGCCTTTTCATCAACGAGCGTTAGCAACTTTTAGCACTTACTCGCTAATTTTCTGAAGTACTTCACAAGGTGATTGCCAAGTGACCCGTTCCAAGTTTAGGAATCCTGTCGAGAACCACTCTGAAAGCATGTTCTTTAGAACTCCATTCATTTCCTGCAAATAGAAGAGAGATGAACTTATCTGCTAAATATGCTAGGTAGAACATACAAATGTGAGTAAAGATAACCTTGATTATTTCAAACTACAACACTGGGACGTTCAAGGAAACTAATGCATCTGTTTGAGAAGATTAACCACATAATAGTTCAGCTTTCCTCACACAGGACTAAAACAATGAAAACGTTTACAGACACTGTCTATGGTGAACTGCAGACAGGGAAATGGAAGATAACGTAAAACAATGTAGATGAAAAGCAGACAACAAATAGAAGTATTTGAGCAGTCTTGACAGTAAGGCGGCAGTTGCACAGGTGCTCAGGTTTAAATAACGTGAGAAAAAAATGGGAAATTTGATGAAAATAAGGACTTGAATTTCACTGTAATTTTCTACATCCAGATCTCTTCTGCGTATTGAGCAGTTCGTGCCTTAGGAAGACTATTACCACTAGCTTATTAATATAAGAAAGTAACTCGCCAAATTAAAATTTTCCAGTCCCTTACCATATTTTATTAGTCATGTCTACTTTATAACATTTTTTCCATTGCTCTTTATGAGAAAGATACAGAATAGCTATTTACTCCTGCACATTCTGCACCATGATTAACACATGGAACTTACTTTTGACAGATCTCCAAGGCACACAACATATCTACCGGGGGTGACTGGAACGTGTACAGGCAAAATAGGCATCAGTAAACTGCAAAAATGCTTCAGTTTGGACTTTAGCATGGACTGTACAACTCAACACAGGAGCTGCACATGCCCACTCAGGATGATAAATTAGAAAACAAGTGTCGTTGAACAGGATGCAGATAAAACCATAGGTTTTACAGAATTTTTCTTGTCTGTAAGTATGAAAATTTTTGAGCAAGAATAACAAAAGCAGCAGCATAAGACTACAGAACTCAAAAATCACAACAGAGTTGGAACAGTATGATACAGAATTAAAGCCAACTGTAATATCAAATACTTTCAGAAACATTCATCATAATAATGAATTTTATATTCCCTACTAATTTCCTGCTGCCTATATTATTAAAGATTTTCCTGTCTAAAATTCTTTGAGTTTAGAAAGTATTCTTGAACTCAGCACAGCATGAATATCCCTTAAAGAGATTCTAGAACTTGTTTTTCTTTCTTATATTTGCTTTTTATACAGGACACAGTGTGATACCAACACCAACTTACCAACAGCCTGATCAGAAATGTAGGCTTACCTGAAACTAACTTAATAATGATTTATTCAAAAACAAAAACTCTACACCTTCTATTCAGATCTTTATTAAATAGCCACTGCTGTACATAAACCAGATAAACATTATGCTCCAATGTACTTTACCTTGCTACATTTAAGCAAAACAACAGAAAAAAAAAATATAAATCTATCCAGAAAACACTTACTACTTAAAACATCTTTCCAAAGCTGAGATGTAGTCTCAGGACTTTCATAAAAAAGCAAAAATACTTCCTATTGTAACCTAACGATGATGAAAGTTGCAGAGGCACTTGTCAAGAGGCACACATCGAAGAAGGTTCCTGTTGGCCAAAGTAACTGCTACAAGTATTCCAAGACTGAAAAAGGACAGTTTTATTCTTTAATTCAACATACTGGAAAAAATTATAATTTTCAAACCCTGACTATGCTTGCAGCCAACTGTTACCAGATATGTCAATCTACACCAATCCACCCAAATTTATAATTAAATTAACTCCTCCCATAAAAACTCCTAGAGCAAAGTTGATGGTAATGACCACAGTCATGGAGTTTGCAAGTTAAATTCCTAACAAATCCTGACTCTTTTCCATATCTGCGGTGCAGAGTCAAATTTTCCTTCAGTTTCCCTTTTTCCTACCTACTCCTACACTTACTAAGTTCTGACAGTGAAATACATAGGCTTTTGTTTGGCATCTATCTTTGTTTATGCAGAAATGGCTACTATATCAACCATCTCAACAAGGCTTGCATCAGCAACAGTTTTATTGGGAAAAGCTGAATTACTCTCTCACACACAGATTTGTCTGTTTTTTTGTTTTTTTTTCCAATACGTTTTTCCTCTCAAACTGTAGAGGTATAAGTGTCCTAAACAAGTATATTCTGATTGTTTTGTTTATTCTGGTTTTAAGGTACTTCCCTTGCGAATCCTTGCTTCTGCACAGCTCTGAAGTTTTTAGAAAATAACCATAAATCATTTTGGTCAAATATCCCTTGGTGTAGTGAAAGTGTCCAGGTATTTCAGGATTGTTTTGTTTTCTTTTGTAAGGGCACCCTGTAAGCCAGAAAAATAAGCTAGAGTTGTCAGATCTGGGGTCAAACTAACAGATTCCTATGGCTCTCTTGTCATCCCTCTGCTTTCTGGAACACCATTTCAAGCTGCAGTCTAGCAGCTAGGAAGCAAAACTGCTGATGGCTGCACTCCTGCTAGTCATTATTTTGAACACACTGCTCTGCATCTATTGGCAGTAACATGGCTCAGATGGCAACGAGTGACTTGGGAGAAAGCCAGTTATGCTACATGGAAACTGGTAAAAATGGAAAGCATAGAATCCGATGCATTTTGCTTCTTTGAAGCACCTATAGGTTTAGCAAACATGCTCCATACAATGGGCCATAATGATGCCCAACTGAACTGAAGGCTACTTTTCAAGATGCAGATTGCATTATAGAGCTACTTCAGGTCCAAGATACAGCTGTATAAAAGCAATGCAATTGTAACGAAAGAAGAAAGTGAAGTAGATGTGATTTTGGAAGAAAGGAATATTGTTTATGGGGAATTACAACACAATTCAAATAATCCGTCAGTTGTAAATAATAATGCTTTATAAAACGACAGGGCAGCATGCAGGCCAAAGAATGAATAGTTCCAGTTGGAAGGGACCTACAACAATCACCTAGTCCAACTGCAACTCTGCATGTTGACAAAACTTCTTAGTGTAGAAAGACATAAAACACTTTATACTATCCAAAACTCTGTTTAATTCAAGTCATCTTAGCAAAATTCTGAGTTGTGTTTAATACCATAGTATACGCTAAGTTTCTGAAAGGCTTGACTCCAACAATGACAGTCTCAAGTTAGGTTCTCTTATTTTGTAAATTTAGTGGTAAGTAAATTCTTATTTTCATTTCAGAGGCCCTTCTAGTCATAAAATGACGTTTCCAAAATTTCATTAAAAAGAAAAAAAAAAGCAAACATTATTCAGCATCCCAGTTTTAAATTTGAGCAACAAGACATCCAGAGATTACTATTTAAAATTACCAGCTATACTTCAGTTTCTATTAGTTGAGTATAATAAACCTGCTACAAGATAGCAAATTACAGGCTTTTTGATCTTCACATCGGGTCCCTATTTGTCGGGCAACAAATGGGAACACTTATGAAAAACTTAAATTAATTTTTTTATTAAGAAAAACTGCCTCTCTGATGAGGGAGCTATTTCCATTTCTCTCTCACACTACTGAAAAATAAAATACCCCTTACAATGAAAATTCATATGCAGATATTTACAGATAAACACAATATGAAACAGCAGTAACTAACACTGCATGCGTCTCAAACAGCTGGCTCAGTTACTGTTAGCTGCTGGTTAGATATCTGACCAGGGCTACAAGAGAAGTATTCTGCCAGCCTCACAAGAGTCAAGTTTTTCCATGGCTTTGGAATGTTTGAAGTTTTTAACCTGACATGCTTCATTTGGGCATACCGACTTACAGACCTACTCTGATATTGCCAAGTGTTTAAAGGTGTCTTTGGCTTTTTTTTTACAAATTAGCTTCAAAATATACACACAGACTATCCCTGGTGAGATACTGAAAAATATACGCATCAGCAAAACTGGATTCAATAGTGTGACACAAATAAAAGGGGACTGATCTGCTTTTTTATTGCTAACAGTAATTACTGCAGTGGTAACGGTAGCGCTGAAAACTTCCCTGGCTCTTGTGTTTTATACTGTTTGATGTCTTGTTCTTAAAAAAAAAATAATCATTTCCCTTTTTTCCCCCCATTTTTCTCATTTCGACAATGAGTAAAGTGAGCACAAGCATTCTGAAGTTACTTAATCACCTGTATATGTTATTTTACGGTAATCTATTGAACAAACACAAAATAGAAATGCTTCATCAACCAATATCTAACAGTCCAAGCTGCTTCTGTGTTGAGATGTTTTGAGGAAATAGAAAAACACTTTATATTTACAAAGCAGCAGTGGATAATCCTTGTTTTAATAGGTCTTTCAAAATGCAAAGTAAAAACTAAGGACTGTCTAAAATTTTAGACAGTTTGGGCAAAAACAAAATGCCAGTATGCCATATAATGCATTCTGTAATTTTCCTCCAGCATCAAGAAGATCCATTTAATTTTATTTCCACATTTCCTTGTCAGTGCAGAAAACAAATACACAGAAGTTATAAAATTCTTGTTGCGCATTTGTCTTTATGTATGTTAGAATTTAAATCAAATCTACAATAATGAAATGGCTATACAGGACTTTTGATAGGTAAATACCAAACACTTTTTTGCAGAAAAACTTTTAACTTTCATTTGTTTCTCTAGTTAAGGGCTTCTTCGATCTCTAAAGCAAAGTGTTTCAATATTCACATTCTCCAGATAGCCACTGTTTCACCTGAGTGAACACTTACTCTAATCCATTGATGAATCCTCATCAATGAGACCACAGTTCTTTCAAGGCAGTACAACTGGGTGAAATAAATACATCCTTCTGTGGATGTATGTAGGTAGGACATCTATCACCACAAATATTTCCCCTCCCCAAAAAGCCATGTACAGCCTACACACAAAATATTCTCCCTTAAAGCCTGTTCTACCACTTCCAGTTCCTCTACTAAAATTTAAACCATTTTCCCTGATTATACAAACTTTAGGTCCTTGTTGTGTTTAGGAGCAGTTGCTATGAGGGGAAAAATACCCAAAACAATTATGGTATTTCTTTTTTCTAGTAGACCAAAACAAGAACAAGATTACAGATACACTCCAACTACTGCTTAATTATGGAAGCAGGTTTATTTATAAATCAATTTGACAAAAATGCTATCTTTTTCATTATCCTTTGCCAGCAACTTGAACCTTCCACTGACTTTTTCTAAATCACATGGAAAGATGAGGAATATTTTAAAAGCAATAGCTGAATGATTTGCTACCTGAAATAATAACATTGTAAATTTTTCACCAGAGTCCATATTTCAAATGCTGAAACTGAGTAAGCAAGGAAAATATAAAAAGTCTCAAGAGGAAAATGCTGGCACAGAAAAAGAAGTGCTGAGGGTCCTGAACAGTAAGAGGAAGAGCTACACTCAGGAAACAGGTTTTCAGCAAATTTCACTCTGTGCATTGCAAGGGCTCATCAGAAAATCAACTCATTTATAAAGACAGGGGAAAACATGCGTGTCCTTTGGTGGAAGGAAGAAACAGAACACATGAAAAGAACATAAGAGAGAGACGGGGAAAAAAATTCAAACAGCACCATGAAAAAGAGTTAGGTCCAGCTTTACTGTAATTTAACTTTTCAAGCCACGTATTATGTGCCAGTACTGTTTTTCTGAAATGCTCATCTTCACATTACCCATGAGGCTTACGGCAGTAATAATTGATTCATGTATTTAATAGAAAAGAAAAGCCCCCTCTGGAACAGATTATGAAGAAAAATTTCTCTTCACCATATGTCCTGTACGTATTTTTGGTGGACTCTTTGGAAAAAAAGGCTGTATAGCTTCGAAAATACAGTTTACCACTAAATTTTTGCCATCTGATTATCAAGAAACTTGTGTCAAGAGTATTCATCATCTTTTACACAACCATAGAAAGACATTTACTATGTCATAACAACTTGTCACTCAGGATACCTATAATTTTTCTGTCGTGCTCTACGTGACGATTCTGCCTTCTAACTACTAACTTAAATATAAACTAAACCTTATTTACAGCATGTTCCTTCTCTTTGCACAATCCATCACTTTATGTATGTCCAATGCATTGTTCAGGGTTTATGTTCAAGATCTATGGAATTTTTCCAGTAAGGTAGTTACCATTCTTCTCAATTTCTTATAAGTCAGCTTTTTCAACCCAATTTGCCTTACATCCTGACAGCTAGGGCACTATGACTCCTGATTTAATGGACACTACTAAAATAGTTCAGTGACTTCAGTGCTCAGAATCTTTACAAGTCTAATAGCGAGACACATTTTGGAGCGCAGTGCAGCTAGGCACATGTCACGCAGTACATAAAATCAGAGTAAGTTAGGCAATTGCATTTCTTCATTTACCTTAAATATCAATTCAACTCAAGGGGGGATTTATGAAAGACAACTGAGGGCATTATGAAGATGTGTATACTTGCGAGTAACTGAAGACAATACTGCACCAGTTTGCAGTGCATCATCTATTTTGTTAATGATTCAGGAACAGTGAAACCAATGGAGAAACAATCATCAGGTAATTTGCATCTTCTTGTTTTAAAATAATACCTTAAGAAATTCAGTCAGACAAGAACTCATCATATGTAATAGTGAATCCTGACATCCTCCCCAAGCTCCAGAGCTTTTCTCTACTTTTTTTTTGTCTCTTTCCTGCAATTAGGGAAACCAGCAAAGAACCACTCTGAAATTGTCACCTACAAGATCCCAAAATACGTGTTGTATGACGAGAACAGTTCTCTGCTCAAGACTCAAATTCTTTATTAAAAAGAAAAAAACTCTAACAATCCCCCACCCCCAAATCTATAGCCTCAATATTCTGCCATATAGTTTTCTCTGTTCTTGACAGTTAGCCTCAGAACAGGTAATACAGTATCTCACACCCACGGCTTAAGGTATCAAATTAAATATACGTGCCCTCACACCACTTCCTCGCAAACCACTTGCACCAGCTAGTAATCAGCTCCGTTGCAGAGATTATCAAGACTTCCTGCGAGCTGGGTGCTCCCTTGGGTGCTCACAGTTATTCTGACGCTTACTTGCAATACAAGCAAATAGGTCTGAAAGGCCGAGCAAGATGCTTATTTCAGAGGCAAGACGTAACACCTCTCCCAGGCACACTAGCAAGAACGCTGGAATAGCACATAGTTCTAGGTCTTGGTTGCTGTGGAGAACAGATGAGAATGACACAAATGAAACTCCAAACTGAAAAGAAACAGTATCCACGGTAAATTCTTACAGCCCATACAGTCACAAACAAAAACCAATGCAAACCAGTTCTATCTTAATCTTTCCTGGCTTCTGTGCTGTTTATCACCAACTCTCATTTTTAGAATATATCACATTTGAAAAACAAAACTCATCAACAAGCACAAAAAAGACTACAAGAACAGATATGCAGAACTAAGCCCAGTCATACAATGAACCCAAACATTTCAAAAAATATTTTGAGAAGAAGACATAACAAAACGCTTATGACAGCCCTTTTATTGAAGCTTTAGCTTTGCAGACAATATTTTCCTACTTTCAAATAGTTTTAGTATGTTTCTGAACATACTGTACTATGTGACACATGTACATTCAGCTGTTTTACACGCTTCCATCCTACTAATTTTGCAAATTCAGTCTGTTTTTACTCAAGATGATCCAACTGGATGTGGAATCTTACCAATGCTGTTGCTACTTCAGTTATGCGATAACTGTGGTTAACTGACAGGACTGACATAAAAAATGTCCTCTTCTTGTCAAACTTAATTTGTATCTGAATATCAACAAACAAGTTATGGTCAGTGCATCTGACCAACTTGCTGTCCTTCTTCATTGCCTTCCAGGAAGTCCTGTCACCTCCTGCCACTCTCATCTGCTACATCATTCCTTCCTCCGCACCCACGTCACCTCACTCCACCATGTAACCAGTGGGGATGTTCCACCCCACCTATTTTCTACATGGTACTGAGCTAAGTCATGACAACTCCTTTCTCTTGATATTCTTCATCAGCAGCATGACACAACTGCTGTATCACTTTTGGCCCTATATCAGACTCAGGACTCATGCCACTACACGTCACTCCTGCAGTGAGCTCCTGACGCAGCTTGGCAGCCCCAACATCAGCTGCATTATGTCATGATCCCTCAGCATGGCACTTCCTCCACTGCCCTAACGCCAGCCCTTCACAGCCCGCAGCCCACAGAGCTTCCCACTGCCACTTCACTTTGGACAGCCCGCTGCTTCACGCCATGGGCCGCCCCCTTCCTGAGCCATGTCAGCAGAGCCATCTCCCCCTGGTGCCACAGCCTGTGGGAAGGGGCTTTGCTCATGTCACACCATGGAGACCCCAACTGGGAACGGGGTTCACGGCACGCTCTTCAGCCCAACATGCAGGCTCCACGAGTAGTACCATGTGTAGGAAGCCCCAAACCACATCTCCCCCGACTCCCTTTCACAGCCACCCACCCCCAGCCCAGCCCTCACCTTGACATGAGGCCCATCCACCGCCTTGGTCGCCAGCCCCTCCACCAGGTCGCCCCTCAGCTCCACTAGGAAGCGCAGCCCGCCCTCGAGGCGGCCCAGGTGCTGGAAGAGACCCCGGTACTGGGGGTTGAGGTAGTAGCGGAGCCGGTCCTCGGCCTGCAGCAGGGCCCCCAGCTCCCTCTGCTGCTCCCGGGCCTGCAGCACCTTGGCGCTGAACTCTGCCACCCGGCCGTGGTCCACGCCGAAGTCGCGGGCCAAGCGGGTGAGGAGCTCGGCGCGGGGCGGCCCGGCCTGCAGGGCCCGGTAGTACCGCACGAACTCCGCGCTGCGCAGCTCCGCCGGAGGCGGCGCCTTCTCCTTGGTCTCGTAGGGCGGCAGCGGCGGGACCGA